GCCATGACGGAGCGCAGCGGCGCGGGGCCGGGACGGCCGCCGTGAGGCGAGGCGAGGGGGCCGGGCCGCCTGCCCCGTCCCTAGCGCCATGAGGTGAGGTGGGGGCGCCGGGCCGCCCCCCCGCCGCCATGAGCTGAGGTGGGGGCGCCGGGTTTCCCGCCATGGGTCTTTCCGCCACCGGGGCTGGAGGCCTGGGGTGCCTCACCCCTCCCCGGGGCTCTGGAAACGGAAAAAGCCGCCTGAAATATCCCCCCCCCTTTTTTTTTTTATTAAATTGTTATTAATGGCCGAAAGGCGGTGGTGCCCGGCGGCCGGCGCTGGCTGATAACCTCCGAGGCCCTGGGACTGGAGGGTAATTTGTTCAGGCTGTGCCGTTTAGAAGCAATTTCTCAGCCTATTATTCCGTTTGATTTTTTTTTTTTTCCCCTTCTGCAAGCCAAATCCTAGCTGTTAAGCTCTATTAATATAGATTTAATTAATCGAATATTTGAAGTGATGTTTCTCTTGTGCTCTCTTTAGGGCTTCCAGCTGATATGCAGCTTAAGCGTGTGTGAAGGGATGGCTGTAAATCAGAGGTCTCGGGTGGCAAGAGAGCTGTCTGGAAGATACAGCCGTCAGGTAACGGGTCCTCACTGGTGGCCTTTGTTTATGAAAACCCCCGAGTTTTACAGGAGGTGGAAGCAGCCAAGTGAGGTGTCTTCTGGAGGAGACTGCTGCTCTGGTAGTGTGACCTGCGGAGAGGAGATGTAAAGGAGTAACATGCACATGAGGCACAGGGAGAGCTCAGGAGCCTTTTGAGCTACGTGGGTGAGGTCTCTCCACAAGCCAATGTGGGGAGATGTGCAAAATGACCGTTTGTTCTGCCATACTAAGTAAACTAAATGGCCTCTGCTGGCTTGTGAATGGCCTGTTGTGCCAGCCTCTGCTGCTCTGGGGTAGAAATAATAACCTGGTTTATCTAGTGAAGCACACAGTGCTTCCAGTTGCTGGAGGAAGCCCTGATGAGAGGAGGTGTTAGAAGCAAGGCCCGCATCGCCAGAGGGATGTGCTTTTGGGCCTCTACTTCCTTCTGTCCTTTAAAAACTCAATTTTGAGTTCTGTTTCATCCAGCTGGTAGTCAGCTACCCATTGCTGCTCAGTGCCTGCGATAGTGTTACAATGCTGGGAGAGAAATGCGCTGCCAAGTCTCTCCTGGCACCACAGGTGCTGTTCTGGCCCTAGATGGTGCCAGGTTTTGGCAGCGCTCTGCATGCTTAAGAGTGGACTAACTCCTTCTCCGTGGAGTTAATCCTAGACTGGATGCAGACAACGTGCAGTCAGAAAGTTAAAAAAAATGTTGTGGATGTTTTGTTTAATACTGCATCTTTTGTATAAAAATGAAGGTCGGCTAATTAACTGGTCAGTGTTAAGGGTTGAATTTGGGGCCTTTACAGTTACTCCTGTTAACTGTCTTTGTATGTTTTTTAATTACAGGCAAATGGTTTGCATGTTTCGCTGCAGGTGGGGGCTCGCTGGAGCAGCAGTGGTTGTGAGAAGAAAAGAAATAAGCTGTTGGCGCTGCTTTGAAGATGCTCATTTGAAAGAGATTGAGAAGATGGAAATGTAGAGTCCACAACTTAAATGGGACTCCTGGAGAAGTACTTGTTTTCAGGATCTGGGTGTAGTAACTTGAAACATCAGAGGTGGTTGGGGCAAGGTATAACAAGAATTATGTATACAATTTGCTGTTAATCCCCTCTCACTGCTTGTTTAAAATTATATTTTTTTCTGTGACCTCTATTTATTAAACTTATTTAAACTTGGTCATTCTGCTTTTTCATTATATCGTAAGGCTGTTGGGTACAGCGGGATTTGAAGGTCACCTTGAATTCTTGCCTGTGGGAGACTCTGGAGTGGCAGGAATGAATGGAATGCTGGGCACCTGGTGCCCTCCTGCCATGCACACACACTCTTCTCCATAGCCTGTGCTGCAAGGACAGATTTTTAACAAGGCTTCCTTTCCTCTGGTACTCTGAAGGATAAAGGAAATAAGGTCTGGGATTCCTATTTCTGCTGCATACACAGCCAGTACAAGTTCACAAGATATCCCTCCTGTGCTTCAGTTCCTGAACTTCTTGTTCTCTCCCTTCCCTGGACCTGGGGGGAGGTGAAGCCCACAAAAAATGTGCAAGTTGGAAAAGGCTGCCAAATATGTAAAATACATTGAAACTGATGGGAGGGGAAAGACCACCATCACAGATTCAGACAAAAATGCTGTTTAAATGCAAAAGGCACTGTAGTTGTCAGAGCAAAGGACTATATTGCTCTCACCAAGATGCCTGACCCATTTGGATTCAGTGCAGACTTCTGGAGGATGCTGTGTTTGTGAAATAATCAAAACTTAGGAGTTTTTTAGGCTAAAACTAATCTTTTCAGTGTTAAAAATGGTTCAAGGGCCTTCAGTCACATCACATGACAATTATCCTGTCATAGGTGCTACTGCAGCTGCCATGCCATCTATACACAAACTGGGAAGCATGGACATGAGACTGCTGTTGTAGACCTTGCTGTCTGCAGGAGTGAACAGCGTCAATGTATTTATGTTGATAGTGGCTGGAGTTTATAACGGTGAGGCTTTTGATAAAACACTAGCGCACATCAGGTTAGTTCCCAAGTTACTGATGGTTTATGTCAAATAGGTGCTTCTGTCATGCATGAATTACAGTGCTGAATTTTTTCAGGGCTCTCCTAGGTTTTAAATGTCCCTGACACTGCTCACTCACCTGTTAGCTCTTCTGCCATCTGAGTATTGCTGATCTTTGAATATGCGTTTTTTTATACTCTACATGGAAATATTTGTCGAAGTATTCAACGCTACTGGAAAAAAGTTTTTTCTTAGTTGAAGTCTATGACATACACAAATATAATTATACTGGTTCTATATGAACAAGTTCTACCTGCAAAACTAATAACCAGGTTTCCTGTGGATTTACGTTGTACCCAGCAATCTTCCTCTCTCCCAGTACTCGCCCAGCAGGGGAGCAATGGGTGCTCTACGGCTGGCTGCCCGCTGCCCTCAGGGTGGACATGGGTTTCTGCCTGCTGACTGCCAAGAAACACACTCACTGCATCAGGGGTCTCTGCTGCTGTACCAGGTATTTCTGAACTTGGCAAAAAATGAGGAATACACTCTACTGTCAGCCTGTCGGTTTAACCCCAGCCAGCAACTAGGCACCATGCAGCTGCTTGCTCACATCCCCGCCACCAGTGAGGTGGGGGAGAGAATCGGGGGAAAAGAAGTAAAGTTGAGATAAGAACAGTTTAATAGGACAGAAAGGAAGAAAATAATAATGATGATAATAACAAAGTGACAATAATAATAATAAAAGAATTGGAATATACAAAATAAGTGATGCACAATGCAATTGCTCACCACTCGCTGACCGATGCCCAGTTAGTTCCTGAGTGGTGATGCCCTCCCCAGGCCAACTGCCCCCAGTTTATATACTGGGCATGACGTCACATGGTATGGAATATCCCTTGGGCCAGTTGGGGTCAGCTGTCCTGGCTGTGTTCCCTCCCAACTCCTTGTGCCCCTCCAGCCTTCTTGCTGGCTGGGCCTGAGAAGCTGAAAAATCCTTGACTTGGTATAAACACTACTTAGCAACAACTGAAAACATCAGTGTGTTATCAACATTCTTCTCATACTGAACCCAAAACACAGCACTATACCAGCTACTAGAAAAAAAATTAACTCTATCCCACCCAAAACCAGGACACAGCCCCAGAAAGCAAGTGCTATATGGACAATAAATACACAGACTGGCTTATTTCCTTGAAAAACTGTTGCTGCGATAAAGCTCTGTTACACTCGTCTCAGGGCTGAACCCAAGACTTGTAGGCCTGGTTGTGCTGTAGCAAAAAAGGCAGTAGAAAAGGATGGAGGAAGTCTGTCGGCAGCGGTGATTATCCCATCAGAGCGCTTGGGAATGGCTGCAGAGCTCTGCCTTAGGCAGCATGAAAGCTCTTCTGAGGCCCCACCACTCTCAGGCAGATGGAGGGTACCACTTTTTCCCCAAATCCACCAGGCTTTGTGCACATACTGGACAAGAAAAAACATAGGAATGTCATAAACATTCTCCAGTGATCAGCACGAGTACAAGGAACTGGAGCTCTGTGTCTTACCGCAGCAGCTGTGTTAGCAGGGTAGGGATGGTCAGCACTGTATGGCTCCTTCTGCAGCACAAATGCAATCAATAAAGGTCAAAATGATTCACCTCGCTGCCAGTTTGGTGCCTTGACCGAAGGACAACAAAGGAAATTGAGAGACAACCCATGTGGTCCAAAAGGAACAAAATACTGGCTTTGAAATAAAGCCAGGGAAATGGAGCAAGACCTGCTTTTGTACTTGGGAAATGCTAACGTGATTTATGATTCTGTTTATTAGCACCATACGTTTTGCAATCTATATATGACTTTTACTGGGCAAAAGTGGCTAGATTGCTTTACATTTCATCAAGGCACTTTGCTCTGCTTTTACTGCTCTGCAGTACTGGAGTACAGAAGTATTGTTAGCTTAAATGTATGTGTTTGTTTTTGAGCAGTTAATTGTTTTTTATCCTGAGCTTGTTAGAGAGCTGAATTTCTTGTGGCTGTTCTCTGAGCACTTTCATATTATTTCAACACATGTTTTGTACCAATCCCCTGTTTTTTTCAAATACCTTCTGTGTTATTGTTTCATTGTGCTCTCCAGCCACATATAGAGAAGAAAAATCAGCCTGTGATGAATTCAAAAGGCAGGTTTTTTCTTTCCCCTGGAGACTGCATTCAGCTAGGCACCTTCACCTTCGTAAAGCTGCTGGAACACAGCAGCTTCCAAGAGGATGCAGAGACTGGGTCTTTAGCCACAAAATTAAATTGGAAAGAAAGATATTGACTGTGAAAGAATTTCAAATCATAAATAGCATTTGCCCGATTGCACGAGGACTACTTCGGTCATAAAATCAAGCAATTCAAGGAAAGCACAGGAAAAGTGAACTTTCCTCCTACCAGCGCAAGGTGGCAATATTGGCTTAGATGAAAAGGAAAGCCTTGCACATAAACTGTAGGGTTTCTTTTACCAGAATCTTCTAATGAACCTAATAGGCATCAAAAGCCCATTGTCTTAAATATTTTAGAGATGGTAACATCTTCGTTCTGCTGAGGAGAGCAGTCTTTAGGCTTGAGCTGACAGAGCATGGCCGCACTGGCTGCCAGGAGCCCGGCCTAGGGAGCTGCAGAGACTATGAGTGTCTGCCCTATTGCAAAGGTAACAACGCTCTGGGGGTTAGAAGAGCCAAGTGACAGCGAGGAATCCTTAATTCGGGAAAATACATGCTGAAGTGCTTGGCTAGCCTTACCCGTTCCACCCTTTCCAGTCACGGAAAGCGGGAGAGGCCGGCACAGGCCCTGAGGGAGCCCCGGCTCTGTCTTGAGGAGGGTTTCCCTCGGCCGGGGCTAGCCGGGGGGACCCTGGGGTTCAGAGGCCAGAGACCCCGGGACTGTCCCTCCGGTTGTCACCCCGCGCCGCTCCTGCGGTGGCGGGCGGGGACGGCGGAG